AAAGTGATTTCCAAGCATAATATTGCATCCTCATACCTAGAATCACATAACTGTCTCACTCCACTAATAAAGTCTTTACTCAGAGCCACAAATCTGGGTGGGTTCCTGATGTAATTGGGACACCAAAAATGTCACAAAGTGGGTCCCTAATTTATGGAATTACCCATATAGAGGCTTTGCATGTCTAGTGTGTGAACAGCTTCATGCATCATGTAAAGTAGTGTCTATTTCACTACAAAGTTTTGTGATAAAGGTGTGTTGTATAGTGTACGTGCCTCACGTGTGAAAACATCCACATACATGAACCATGGTCAAACCTCCACAAAGTTCCAAACCAACAAACTCTACACCATTTGGGGTAATCATCTACTTAAGTTAGTCTAATGTCTGTCCCATGTTATTACAATTATAAATGAATTTTATTACAATAATCAATGAATAATTGTTTCTTATATACAAAGGGTAAAAACGTCAGTACTCATCTGCAATTATCATTATCCCAGCTACTGCCAGGTACCCATATTGACACCTGGGTAAAGAGTGGCAAAAGCGGATTAATGCCTTGTCAAAGGATGTTAGTGCCGGGCTAGGATTTGAACCTTCAACCCTTGGAATGAGAGTCAAGCAAATGTACCATCATGACACCTTCTTCTCGTGGTGGGACCAGGGAATTAATGACTGACCACTTAACTGACCTTGCAGACAATCAGTTGACCTTTTGCTGCTTTAACATTCCCCTTCATTGGCAATATTGATTAGATGCTTCACATTCCATTAGAATCACTTCAGAGTTAATGTAATCTTAATGCGCATGGCACCTTAGTAACGAGGTCCCAGTCATTTTATAATCAATCCCGTGTCTGCATGATATAAATGTTGATTGGTAAAAAAAATATTTCATGGCTTTGACTTAACCTTTATTTTAGCAGCACTCGCAGACAGGCTGCCATATTCAACTTTTGTTACCCAGTCGCAATGCTACTATCTAACCCGTTACCACTCATTTATCACCAATGTGACTGTAATCATTGTTTTTACTTCTTCTAAAAAATAGCCTCTGGCATTATATTACAGATGACCAACTACATTCACTTTGGCCACTGACCAGAGTGAATAATCAATAAAACTCATTAATCTCATCTTAAACCAATCGCAATGGTAATATCTGACCTTATATCAATCGTTTATCACCAATTTGACTGTAATCATTGTTTTTACTTCTTCTGAGAAATAGCCTCTGGCATTATATTACAGATGACCAACTATACATTCACTTTGGCCACTGACCAGCATGAATAATCAATGAATAATCAATAAATGACCACAACTATGTGAGGCCAGCATAAACGATTGAATGCACTTATGAACTTTCTGGTCTGTAAAAACAGGGAGTGTTTTCCAGCGACATGGGCACGGCAACTTGGAACAAAATCAATAGCTTTGATTTTTTTTCTTCCAGGTATGCAAATGAATTATTCAGTCATCTATACCCACCTCATTATGTAACAATGGAATTTTATTTTCAGTGGTCCCTTTTTACGCTGGATCTCAATATTAATTTGCATATGATGTACAGTGAGACATGCATGCAAAGGACACCCCTATGGATAGTGGCCTTAAGGAAAGTTTAAGTAAATGTACATCTCAATACATATGTCATTACATATACATGTACCAATAAACCTGAAGAGTACATATAACTTGACTTCCTAAAAATTGTCTCTCAGCAGACAAAATACTTCATTGGCTATGTACATATATTGTCAATGGCAGTAATGGCCTTCTTGTGTTTTGAATGGCCTCCATCACCTGCCAAGCTTCTTGGAAATTGCTTTTACAAACAATATGGCACCTTAGTAACAAATAATGGCATTTCTCTAAATTATGAAAATATTGAGAGAGAAAAACACTTCTAATGTTCATAGCTGTTGAATAGGAATTGGTTCCATAACTTAGCGAGTTTCTTGGAAATTGCTTTATAAACAATACAGCAACATGCTAGCATATGCTGGCAGACATTTCTCTAAATTATAAAAATATTGAGGAAAACAAACACTCCCCCGTTTTTCTCAACCTGTTGAATATCAATATTGAAATTTTATTTTCAAATTGTGTATGGAATGGGTTCCATCATCTGTGGGGCTTCTTGGAAATTGCTTTTACAAACAATATGGCACCGTTCTAGCATATACTGCCAGAAATTGTTCTAAATTGTAAAATTATTGAGAGAAGAAACCACTCCCTTTTTTCATAACCTGTTGAACAAGAATACATCAATTAATTTCACTTGGCTTCAGCTTGCCTTATATGTACATGAATCAAACATTTTTTGGCCTCGTTAGATTATTATCTGACGGTGATATCTCGTCATGGTTTTCTTAATTCCGTCTGACCTTAGTGCCACCTGTTGCCATAGCAACCCATGCGTTGCTATTACATGAAGGTGCATAACAATGCTCTAGCTGCAGAAGTGTTTTCAACATCATTATTACAAGACTTGTTATCATCCTCCCATCCCTTGTGTACAGTGTTCATGAGCGTACAATTTTCTGACAGTCACACAAGTAGAACATAATGTATGCAGTGTCCATGTTACTCGTGAAGCACTCTGCTTGAAAGACAGCCCACTTGTTGATTCAAGACTGGGTATTGCAATTTATGAAACATCTTTCACAATTCAGCTTTAAAAATTGAACATATTCTTGTTGCTGTGTGACTTCATAAATAAGTGATCAATAAAAGGTCCAGCTACCGTACATGAACAAAATGTCATGTTCAGTTTGTGCTCTAGGTTTCTTTTTTCTTTTTTTAACTAAAATGTTTATATTTCATTTTGAGCAGATAAATCACAGAGGTTCATGGTCATCACAAAGAATCTGATGTGATTGTGAGATGTTAAAGATTCATAATAAAAGAAAGGCGGTAAGAACGAGAAAACAGGTGTGAGAGGGACCAGGATGGAAACAAGGAAATTGAGGGAAGTGGGAGGGGAAATAGAAAGAGGGGGAATAGAGAGATAGAGAGAGAGAGAGAGAGAGAGAGAGAGAGAGAGAGAGAGAACAAGGAGAGAAACTTCCAAAAAGGAAGAGAGAGAAAAAAGAGAGGGAGGGGTAGGAGAGACAGAGAGAGAGAGATATTTGGTGATTATAAGGGTAGAAATGTTGGACAATTTTTTTGATGGCAGGATGTACCCCCCCCCCCCCCCATGTTTAAAAGGTTCTACATTAACAGATACAGATGTTGATAGGCAAAGGATGATACTAGGTGAATTATCCAAAGCCCTCAAAGTGAGACAGAAAGAGCGAGAGAAAGAGAGAGAAAAAGGAGAGAGAGAGAAAGAGCGAGAGAAAGAGAGTGAGAGAGAGAAAGGAGAGAGAGAGAGAGAGAGAGAAAGAGAGAGAGAGAGAGAGAGAAAGAGAGAGAGAAGAGAGAAAAAGAGTGTTATATATGATGATAAATACAAGCAGATATATTGTTTATCTGCATTTGGGCGATAATTCAATGGTAAGAATGTATTGATTAAATTGAGTGCGCTGGTGTGATACGTGTGAGGTGTGTTAAAAATCATTACATGTTTACTCCCTCCAACTTGTAGTACCTACGGTATTATATGATTCATGCACGGATTGCATTCAAATCTGAACTACATCCAGAAATCTGCTTTGATTAGGCGAACTAATCCAATTTATATTTTCGCATTCTGAAACCACTATGACATAATTTTTTGTTCTATTCATAAATATCCGATAATGTCAAATTCTATAAATATCAATGGAATGGGCTATGTTGAATACTTGAGATAAATATCTACCTTTACGGAATGAAGACAACTATGAACTTCCACGACCACTATGCTGTGTTCATTTAAAATATTTAGTCTTCTGTATCCACAGTTTATTATCTCACTAATTCTTCTTAGCTCCACCTTTCGCACTTCCTTTCTTTTGCTTTATTTTTCTTTCTCACTTGTGACAATTCGTGCCATGATCAAATTTTAGATATATAGGTATCTTCCTCTTTCCTATACATCCCTCCTCCTCTTTCTCTCCAACAAACACATCTCTCTCTCTCTCTCTCTCTCTCTCTCTTATCTTTCTCTCTATCTATCTCTTTATCTCTCTCTCTCTCTCTCTCTCTCTCTCACTCTCTCTCTCTCTTATCTTTCTCTCTATCTATCTCTTTATCTCTCTCTCTCTCTCTCTCTCTCTCTCTCTCACTCTCTCTCTCTCTCTCTTATCTTTCTCTCTATCTATCTCTTTATCTCTCTCTCTCTCTCTCTCTCTCTCACTCTCTCTCTCTCTCTTATCTTTCTCTCTATCTATCTCTTTATCTCTCTCTCTCTCTCTTCATCATGATCAATGCAATGATCAACTGATCATCAATATCTCTCTCTCCTCTCCTAATTTTTGTTCTCTTTATGAACATTCATGTGATAAATACATCCATCTCTTCCTGATCTCCTTCCTCAACTTGTACATTATTTCTCTCTCTCTATCTTTCTCTCATCAATCACATGATCCACCAATCATGCAATCAACACTGCCCCTCCCCCCCCCCCTCTCTCTCTCTCTCTCTCTCTCTCTCTCTCTCTTTTATCTCCCTCCTCCAGTAACTGTCCAAAAACATTCATCTCTATCTCAAAAGGCAGAGGATATGCATTTGGATCAGAATCCTTCACATTACATGTTTGAAAGGAAGCTATTGAACAGAACCAATATCTTTTATATAGTCAATATTCAAACATAGTCTCAAAGACTTTCATAAAATCCGACTCAAGGGTAATTTCAATAGGCCATTGTATCACCAGGTATTTCCTTTAAAAAATCATCTGCATATCTAATATGTCATTATATTTGTTCCCACATTTCAAGAAATGACACACAAGGTTTTAAAAACGCCCGAGGCTAATTTTTCAAAAGTCTTTGCTATTGTGATATTAATCTACCACCCTGCTAATCATTTAGGAAAATTAGTAAACAAAATGACTAAAGATTGCTTACCTTGTGTTGGAGTTGGTCCTATAAAAGTTAGCACTGCCAGCAGCACTAAAACATGCAATTTAAGTCCCTGTAATCTCTGATGGGTTGCCATTTTGGTAAACAGAGTTCTCGTAAAGCGACAGTTCGCTGGGCTTAGACCAACCTCGGTCCTCCTCCTAAATGGATCTGGTCTTTCGTTGGGAGGTGCTGAGAAACGTCCTCCATGGCATTGGGAACACACACAGCTGCACGGGAGATTTTCACGCCTAGTCATTGTTACGTGTCCACGTTTCTCACAATCGCGTCGGTTGTTTTTCCCTCCAATTCTCTTTAAACTAGCATTGTAAAATCTGTGAGATGAAAAGAGATAAACAAATGAACAAAAGAAATTGTTATGACAGTTGAACTGAACTTCTTTCATCAATAGTTGAGATAAGCCCAAAGATGTTTGGACAGATGTGAAGATTTATCAAAAGGACTTTTTCACTGATTGGTCATATATGTTACGAAAATGTAAAGTGACAATAACTGGAGCATAAATTTCTTCTGGTTTTGATGCCTTCTGTTCCTTTACATTTGCTTTTTTTGTTGGTTTTTGGTCTTTTTCCTTATTTTTGTATTCATATTTTGTTTTTACAAGGTAATACTAACATTTATTTGGTCATGTACCATGAAAGGATGAGCTTATCAAATAATCTGAATCAACAGTGTGCGTGCCTGAATTAAACTTCCAACTTCAAGGCAGGAACTATTAGAAGGGAAGATGAATGCATCCCGATAGTTTCTTTCACGATGTAATTATATGACTAATGCTTCCTTGTATAGCAGGTCCTCAGCGGCTCTGAATGGGACTACATGTACTCTGCTTTTTCAAAGAAAACATGGATGATGATAATAATAATACATTTATAGAGCACAGAAACTATCCAAAATTAAGTATATATTCTACTGCGCTACAAGAGCTCCTGGTGTGCTTAGATTTACAGTTAATAAAAATATGTGATATCAGTTTTTATTTAACTTAGATGGTGATTTCCTGACTTCCAAAAAAGATGAATGAAGGAAAGAAAGAATGAATAAATAAATGTTATCTTTATCAAATGACAAGCCACATATAATTCTGATTTTCTCATTCTCTAACTTGAGAACTAAGCTTGTTATCATTCAATCCTGTCACAGCTGTTTTGTTGGAAATTGAATGAATACTGAGAAAACTTCACAACTAATTGGGAATAGTAATAAATTGATTGAACTGATTATAAGAGAACAACACATTTTCATTGACTCAATAATACATTTAGATGATGTACAAGAAGATTTTTTTTCAGGGGTACGTGCCCTGACTAATTCCCACTATTGTGTTTGTCTGATTTCCTTTCCTCTAAATTACTATAATCTTTTACAGTTCAGGGATGTGTGCCCCCATTGTGTTAAGTATATGATGTTTCCAATTGTCAATCAAATGTAATTTATACACTTTTGCAAAATAAAAGCAAGTGCACTTTTTTATTACATCGTTGTTACCATGCCGACCAACATCACTCTTCTGTTGTTCACTCTTGATCTAGCCTAGCAAGATAGAATGATTTAAAATTCTGGTCGATATATTCCGGCGAATGCAAGAATGATTGCACTGCATCATTCTCCTCCCCTGATATATCCAATTATATTGAGTCTTTCAATTAGATTGTATATCCTTCTCTTTTAATAAAGTATAACCTTGAATTTGATTGAATTCTATACCACTATCAAAATTAACTCTAAAAGCAGGGCTAGACACTAACAGGCATGCAGGACACATGGGCACCTAAAATAAAGATTCTGACCCAGAAATGTCATAATTTTGACATACCGTAGGGCTCATGCTCACAGACTCTAAAAGGGAAAATCCAGAGCCCCCTTTAAAGCCATGCTACCGGTATCATGCACTCATGCAGTATTCTTTCAAAATTTTCTCTTTTTCCCACAATCAATCAACTTGACAAAACTATTGGGGAAGATAGATGCATTGATTGGTCTAATGCAAACACAACAGCAATTTGCACTGAACAATTGGTAGCAGTTAAAAAACATATAAAAGATTTCTGTATATCAGTAGTTAAGATAAAAAACAAAGAAATAAAAGAAAATAGCTTCCAAAAGGATCAGACAAAGAGGTAATTGATGTGCCTTGTTCAAAAGCCAAGGTCACTCCCTAGGGCTTACAAGTTTTGTTCCTTTTTGTTTTTGTTCACAGGACTATAACACTGTTGGGGAGGCATTAGACCCCCCCCCCCCCCTGCGGTTCAGACTTTAACAATTCATCACATAGCTATGCATGGATTGATTTGTCCTGATTTATGTTTCTTAATAATGTGAATTATAAGCTTACATCTAAAAGTATTCAACAAAGGCCCTATAAAACCAGTCAACCTCTCATTCTTGAGTTATGAAAAAAAAACACCAAAAAATATCAAATTTACAAGGGGTATGAATAATTCATAGACTGTATGTATTGTGTACTATACATTATTGAGATGATCTATAGTATACTAATATTCACAAATATCTCAATGTGGATTAATCAATTCTGTATCTCCTAGACCCATAAAATGTACTTCATTAAAGAGTAATATGGACAGGCAGCATTTAACTCCAGCTTTCCCAACACTTTGAATATACAGGCCTATATGCATGCATAGAACTGCAGATCTATTGATATCCTTCCTGAGATGACAATTTGTATGTTTGGAGCCAAAAAGCATTTACAAGAAATTACTGCAAAGTGATTTAAAAAACACCAACTCTGCTGATGAGAGCCAGAAGGGCATTAAACCAGTATTCAAGTGTATTAGTTAACGCCTTTCTGGCATTTAACTTGATAATTTTTCAGAAGGCTATATCTACAGGGGCAAGGATTAGGCGGTAGCAAAATATGAAAATACATCAACGGTCATATTCAACATCTGTTTTCAAAGTATCAATAGAATCTTGATAATCGATACCAGTGTGGGAGGTCTATAGCTCACAATGGGTGGGGCGTATTTCGATGGAATTATGACGGTTTGCTGCACAGTTTCCTTGTTTGCGAGCCGTAGAAGGGAATACACCCAAATGTTGAATTCTTTAAATCTATGACTAATATCTTTAATGCTATTGTGCCTGAAACACAATTACAATAATGAAGTAATATAGCTACAACACACCATGACCCTTAACCCTATCTAGCCTGGGCATTTTTGAAACTGCATAGCCTGGGGGGGGGGGAGGGGGAGGGGGGCTTTTAAAGTCCTCCACCCCCCCCCCCCTTGGATAGATAGAGTTAAAGTGTGAATTAAACTTTTCTTTCTTCTTTCCTTGAAATGATTGTGACAATATGATATATTAGATAGATAAAGTTTGTATAATCCCACAATTTGACTGATCAAGCTTTATAGATCAATGCAGTTCTGAGAACATATACATTTTATCAAGAATACATCATATTGTTTTAATCATTTCATGAAAAGAGGTAAAAATAAATTATTCATATTAGACATCTAAGTTTTGAATGATTTAACACAGTTGTGTGATTTGATTTTATCTGTTCATATATTAATGTTTCATAATGATACAATGTACAATATTACTGACTGGACAGACTAAAACTTGACATACTCCCCTGTTCATTCCAAATATTCTTACTATAATTATTTTGCTATACAACATGTAAAAGATCAACAAGCATAAGAATAGGGCAATACAGAAAACAGATAATTTACATTTCTGTACACAGGTAGTCAGGTACAACAAAACCACGCCCATTGCAATGCGACATGACACATATGTATGCATTCAATCCTGTGTTAATTTCCATGTCTATTGTTAACAAGAATTTTCTCACCTTTTACAGAAACTAAAAATGCCTACACTTTAAATCAATATAAAGTGGGCGGTAATTACCGTATGTTAATTTCTGGGTAGGGCTATATACAGCACTGAAAGAATATGGGAAATTAATGCCGGACAAATTCAAAACACATTTTAACAATGGGAAAATTTATTTATATCTCTAATGCTTCTAATAATCTTACAGCAAAATTTAGTTTGGTGTTACTTAGATTTTTGTCTTAATTCCACTTCTGGAAATGACTGAGTAGACATACAGTACACCTACTGGTGTATAGAACCCGATATTATTGTATGTTACATTTACATGTATATACTGTATGCACAGTGTATATGAAGCTTTAGGATGACTATACTGGATATTAAAAGTCATAAGAGTGGAAACCTTGTAGATCTCGACAAAATCTCTTGGATCATATGGGGGCGAGAATATAATCGCATGTGAATTAATGACACGAGGCACACTTGTTTCCATGGAAACACTTGCATCATTCTCTCTATTATACAGCTAATATGTAATCTGGAAATTGGAAATTTAGTACTTCTGATAAACAACTCACCAGAATAAAGTTGCAAATTTGGCATTTCAAAGTGATAAATATCCAGTGGAAAAGGAAATTTATAAGTTGCAACTTGTTTTTCGTTTAAAACACATGCAATTTTTCTCTTCCAAAAATCAATGATTATATCATAAAAGGCTTAAAATTTGATGTTATATACTTTCTGAAAAGGGGACAAATTCTTATGCCTTTTTGCAACATCATATGAAAATGATAATTACCGGTAGTCTTTCTTCAGTATAACATGAACGATCCCATAAATTTAACATGCCGATTCCATCCTACGCATAATGATTTCATTAAAACATCTTTCACACTGCTTGGTGGGTAATACATTAAACATCCAGCCCACACAGCACATACTTTGGACGATAATTCACATCCTTTCAAATTAACGAGTCATTTTTATCAAGCATCCAATTAGATTTTCACAATGACATTGTTGTGCTGCTCAATGGTGTGGAACTACTTCCTACTAATCTAAAATTGAAAGGGATAAAACTACAAATTAAAAATTGATTGGCAAGCAATGGTAGGCGTTTGCTCATAAATTTAATTTGAGAATGACAATATGGTATTGGTCTCTGCATCTTTGAAGTAATTATCATAGAATACTTCTTAGTATTAAAATGAAACCCCTATTTGTGACTTCTTTCAAGTCAAAATACTTTTAAAAGAGGAGTGGTTATTTTTTTAACCAAAATCAAGATAAATTTGTGTCTGTGTCTTTTTTGAAGGCAATGAGCAGATCAATCCTAAAGAAGTAATAGATCAAAAACCGTTACAACGTGAGACTGAAAAACAAAAGGAAGAAAGAGAAAAGTCTAGTCAGGAGGCAGATATTTTGGAAACATTCATATGACTTGAACATAAGAATAACAACTTTAATAATAGCTAATATAATTCTATCCAATATAATGAAT